TTCGGTCAAAGATGTTCGCAGTGCCGTTCAGCTACGATTATTGCCAACAATCGCCAAAAATCCGCTTCTTTTGGACTGGACTGTGAATGAATTCAGGAAATATTTGAAAGGTTCTTGTTCGTTACGAAAATTGTCTGTTTCGTTTTATTTTATCGGAAAATATTTTCGGACTCTTTATTCAAAATTTTTTTTGTGTTTTAATTTAGAATGAGTATTAGCAAAAAAAAAATTATCACTATCTGTAAATGCATCTGTTTTGTGACAAAACTGCATTTATGATAAACGAGGCATTATATGATAAATGTTTTTCTTTTTCCCCGATCCTTCTATTTTCAGCTTCCCGGTAATTACCTTTTGCCCCTTGTTCTAGATAATCCTTTGTCTAGGGAGGACAAACAATTCCGGTGTCTGGGAAGACATCTGTTACATCGGTACATTCAACGGGCCTAGACTATCCCCTCCCCTCCCCCCTCTCTCGTCCTCCTCGTCTATATAAGCGTCCCATTCCAGCAGTTGGAGTTGGATCGTTCGATCAGCTCGTCCTACACTCGTAGTCTCGACAGGACCATCACCAGGCTTCCAGCATTGCTTTTCGAGTAAATATCCCAAAGGGTCCCCCGTCAAACGTAACGTCAGTGCCCCACGCTTCTCAGTTTTATTCAGCTGTTATGGTCCAAATACTTCACCTAATATCTCTTAACGTTCAAGTCATTCTAACTGCTGACTGTGTGTAATGTCCGCTTCCGCCTTCCACTTTATAATTAGATCGGAGTTACTTCAAACAACATAGAGAGTTTCCTACGATACTCTGACTTGCAAGCCCTACTAAACTATCCCAAAATTAAGACCTTACTAGGCATTTCCTACATTTACTTATCTTTTTGTCACTACCACGGAACTATCTCACAGAATGCAGTAGGCATTGCTTGCGAATTATATTAATAACCTTATCACTGTCTTCCAGCTTCGAATCGTTTAGAATTTGATGCACTAAGGTTCCTGTATTTGTTAAGAAATAATATTTTCCATATTCCATGTTGCCAAAAACCTTCGTCTGCACTTCTTCAAAAGCACTTGGAATTTCCAGATTTTTTGAAATCAGAAACGATAACAAGATTTTAAAATACCGACGTTTTGACACTCAGTTTTTCATCTGTGTGAAGGAAAAGTGACTGAGGAAACAGGGTTCAAGTTTGTGCTTCTTTTGCCTCCCTTGTAATTTCTCAACCCTCCAGCCTTCCTGTCTAGAAGCGAGGCCCACTGCTTTGTTCAGGAAACGTAGTGTAATGCGTATCTGACTGAATTTGTTTGCAGTTGACGTCTCTGACAAGGCATCTATTGAAGCGGTACTTTTCATTGCTAAATTTTGCGTTTTTCATCAAAAAGCAAACGGAAGTTTTCTTGACTGGACGCATTTCATTGATGAGCAGATCGTGGTTGTGGCTCTCCTCAGTGCTGATTTACAGGTAAGCTGCTTTTTGCTCTTTTAGATTGTCCCTTTTCGCTTCTCACAGTGAGCCTCAGGGTTGTTTTTTGAAGTGAGCAATGTATCATCCTTTAGCGAGTATTCTTTTGTGCTAGAAAATGTTTTTTTTTCACTGAAGCTGTGTCTTTTTGTTGAGGATTGCTTGTAATGTTTGGCCTTTAGATTCGCTTGATGGCTTGGAAACTGATGTGCGATCATCCAAAAGTGACGTCCCCGATTCCTGCTGATCACTTAACGCTGTGCAAATGTTTCTTGGTGAGCAATATGGCTGAGCAGTCACCCTCTGCCAGATCGGAGATTTTGGCCGGACTGAAAAAGGTATGCTGCATGCGGTTGATTATGGAAATAAATAGTGAAATGTGATGAGGTAAGAGAGGGAATAGAATGTCAGTGGCCCTGAAAGATGAAGATCTCCAACTCAAGACGAAGCGGTGTTTTGAATTATCTGTGCATTAGCGGGACTGGGGTAATCACCCAAAGGCTATGAGATGGAAAGCATATATTGCAAAAAATGCAAAAAATGCTCCTGCTCCTCTCAGGAGCTAAGAACCAAGGAAATAAGGGCGAGTTTTGTGTGAAACTGCTGTAGGTTAGGCATAAGTATAGTAAGAAGCAAGGGATTGCTCTGGGCATTCAGTCGATGGATCCCGCGGAATAGCACCCTCCAAGTTCGGTTCAGATCACTTTAGGAAATTTAAAGACGATACAGACTTTGGAACGAGTGACGTAATGGAAGTAGAGCACAAAACTGCCAGAATGTTAGCACCAGTACCAAACAGGACTGTATATGATTTAGTAGATTAAAACAGTTATGGTGCAAAAAAGGAATGTATACGACTTAATGGACTGAAACATTCCTGTTTAAAATTATCATTCCCATTTCTTAAAATTAACAAATTTTCTTATATA